AACCTGACCCAGTTCATGTTCAAAACTAAACATCTCTCCTCTGGCTGGAAATTGTGCACTGAGATGCCCACTAAACAACTCTATTTATTGTTCCATCTTCAATGTCCCCATTTGACTACCTTGTCTGACAGGTAAACTCCTAAGCTTGCTTTTATAAAAGGTGTAATGGCCTGTTCTTGAGTGTAACTCATCAGGCTTGGCTTGACCCATGGATGGTTACTACTATTTTGTCAGCTGCCCAAACTAAGATGATAAGATTGGTTTTGTCCAATTAAAATTGTTGACCAGATTCACTTCAATATTAGCTTAGTTTTTGTTGACTGGTACAAAATCTGACTCCAGAAACAATTTCAAATGGGGCCACATCTCTCACATATCCTGTGGTGAGTTTTCTATCCTATCATGGCAAATGATCACAAGCTACTTCAGGCCTTGAAAGGGGGAATATTGTACATAAGATTAAAAAAAACTGGTATAACAAAACGGTGGAGAAAAGAAAAAAAAAGTTACAAACATGACAAAAGCTTACAAAATACAACACAAAAGGTAACAAAAGGTCAAGATTCCACACCCATCTTTTTACTCCCATCGTTGAAAGTTAGGCCAGGGTCGAGGCCGCTTTTCATAACCTTCCCCCACAAACACCTTCCTTTTCCATATTCATCTGCACTACACTAATTGCCTTGCCAATGCCAACAAAGACCCAACCCAGAACCGAATTAGACTTCGCATTTATATTACATTTATTGGGTGGGGAGTGTTGACTACACCACGAGCAGCAATAATGATAGAAAAAAACCAATTAATTTAGCCAAATTTATCAGATATGAAAGAAGTTCCCTTGTGCCTGAATTGGCTTGGGATTTGCTCTGAATCAAGTTCCCTATCATAGAATCTAAAGTTGTTTGTAAATTACCGTCATGGGTATGAAGAAAGAATCGACAGAACAATCAATAAACTTCGTAAAGGGGGAAACAGAATTGAATTTGAACTTTCCTCTTCTTCCTTCATCGACTTGTGAAGGAACAAACAAGGGAGAAAGTGAGAGACTAATTTTTATTTTTTATTTTTTTTTCACGAGAAGAAAAGAGATGCGGAACATCAAATTTTACAATTGAAGCAACAATCTATCATTCTCTGGAAATACATCATTACAAGCTTTATCACTCGCCTCCTTTTCATTATCATAAAATGCCATCACCCAGCAGCAACGTATAAGATCGAAAACGCAAAATCCATAAAGAAAAAAGAAAAGGGCACTTCAAGAAGTGGAAGAAGAACCTGGCACTCTAGGCGATGTCATTGGGAACAGAGGCAAGAGCCGGGGCTCAGAGTCCCGGGGGGTGGTAGTCGGCGATGGATGCAAGTAAAACCCCTTTTCTTTAATTGCTTTCTCTTCCGCCTCGGCGTCCAACTTCGCATTCCCATTCTTCAAATAGCTACAATTCGCCAACCCAGATCGATCAAACGGGTCGGGGATGAGCGGCGTGACCGGACTGAGAGCGAGCGCCGGGAAATCTAGAATACTCGGGGAAAGAATTTCAGGTTTTCTCGGAGAGAAGCCGGAATTACAGGAACCAAAAACAGGAATCAAGGGGTTAATCCTAAGTTTATTCAAAGAGTTCCTGCGCTCGTAAAGCTTGAACCCAGATTGCTGCCTTCTGGGCAGAGATTTAATGGGGGGAATGTGGGATTTGGAGACGGATTCAGAGTTTTGAGAGGCGGTGGCGGCGGGCTTGGCGGAGGCTTGCTTGGCGGTTTCAGGGGATCCGGTGAGCATTTGCACTACCTGTTTGAAGGAGGAGGTATCAGCTTGGACGAAGGTAGTGGGATAGGGATTTACGGACTCGGATCGAGTGATGAGTTTTGGAGAGTGCAAGTGCAATTGAGGCGGCGGCGGCGTTGGGGGCGGTGGAGGCATGAGCTGGACTCCATTGCTGGTGCTGGTGCTGCAGCTACTGGTGTTGGTGATGCGGCTACTGGGAGAAGGAAGAAGAGAAGAAGGGCTGGGGCTTGAGTTTTCTTGGTGATTCGAAGAGGTTTCCATTGATGGATTGTGATGAGCGATTTCTCCCACAGAGCTTAGAGAGAGAGAAGCAGAGGCCTGGGTTTGGGTTTGGGTTTGGGTTTGGGGTAGATGAGATATGAGGGAGGCATTCTTAATTTCTTACCTTTTGGTTTGGTAAGAAATGTTTTGGAGGGGACTTTTGAGCTCCTCTTTACTGTGTACTTTCAATCACCCATCATCCACACCGCACGTGGATTCCACGCTCCCATTCAAAATTATGTTGCCATACTTTTCTTCCTTTTTTTTTTAATTACAATTTCAATTCCAAGGGTTTAGAAAGTCTATAATAATTCCCTAATTTAAATTTTGTATTTAATAAATTTTGCCATTCACTGACTCTTTTAAATTCTTACTTAGATTAGTATTTTATAGAACATTTACGTTTTTAATTTTATGTTTAATATGTCTCCAAGGAGTTAGTGACTTATCATATACAAAAGAAAAATGTTCTTAAATATATTTGAAATTTTGGGAACCTATCAAACATTGTTTAAAGTTAATGAGATGTTATACACAGCTTTAAAGATTCGTGGCTAATTTTGAAATTTATTATTTTTTTAGGACATAATTTGGTGCGATATCTGTGAGTGTCTTGGCAAGCTTACGCGTTTCTCGACTAATCTCACAGAATAACTGTCTTATTTTACAACATTTGGTGCTGAAAACACATAGGAATTACTAATTCCTAAAGGAGGTGACCATCGTGAATTTAGTGTCAAATTTAGTATTAGCTAAAAGGTTATATCCCCTATAAACGATATAAATGTTCTAAAACATATCTAACAAAATTTCCGTCCTATTTCGAGTCAAGTATATTAGTTAGTTTAATTAGGTAAATGCTCAAAATCATTATGTTATATCTCAATAATTGTTGATTAGTATTTAATGATTAGTTAATTTGGTAAAATTAGATAATAGTTATTTTAAACAATTTTGTAAAAATTATGACAAGTAGCTACTATTAGGGAGTCACGTCATTTGTTTTCTTTCTAATATTTTGTTTAATTAGTGGCTGCACGGTTGATCTATTTTAATCAAATTTTAATGTAAGAGCTAAACAATTATGAGAATGGTTCATTAACGATTGATTTGTCATTATTTGATAACTTATATTATAATTAGAAAAACAAAATAAATTTAACTTGAGTTTCAGTCACCCATTCAATTAATCTTAAAATTCCATGATGATGTTTGATTTGTCTAATATATATAACAATTGTTTCTGCAAAAATCAGAGTAGGACACGTGACAGGTTCCGAGAGAGACAGCAAGGTGTAGGACTACATGCAGTTATCTTTGATCTTTGTGTATGCATACGGATACGACGCCATCATAGTTGTATAAGAAGGTGTTGAGGACTGACTATTTGCGACGCCTACAGGTGGCAGGGGACAAACCTGCCAGGTAGAGGCGCCACCCACTGACAGTCGGAAGCGTCCACCCCCACATCATGACCTCATACAGCTCGACACGTCCCTGCACCTGAAAACGTCGTTCTTTCTAATCGACCACTTGCGCCTATAAAAGGGAAGTACTCCTGTCACCAATCGGTAAATGAAAAATCTGTCACTAAAATTTTAAGGTGTCTTCTCCTATTACTTTTTCTCTGAACACTAACTCGAGTGTCGGAATACATTACACGGGATACCCCATCGACATTGAATTTTTAATTGCAGGCTCATTTGTCCATTGACAAACACACTCATCCGAGTGACATGTGGACCTCTCCAAAATTTGCTGTCAAATATTTATATATTTTTATTTAAAACAAAAGAAAAATCATTTCTATATTTAATTCATTTGTGCAAGTTACCGTGGATCCCACTTTATGTCATTTGTTTTAAGCAGTATTTTTAGAAATAGACAACTTTCTATTTGCTCAGAGCAAACAAAAAAAAAAGTTAACAATCTTGTACTCTCTACCTTACTGATGTCAAGCCTTTGGGTCCCAATTCACAACACATCTTTCTGATATTTTTGAATTATTTATAAAATTTTCACTATTACAATTGTCAGTTGCAATACTAGAATGATCATAGGGACCCTTCCACGTTGTACTTCAACACATATTAACACAAGTATCCAAGTTATTTTATCCATAATTGATGGTAGAATAAGGACAATAATAAATATAATTATTTTTTAATTAAAAAAATGCATTTCACAATTTTATAACAATTAAAAAACAACAAAAACAAAAAAGATAATCGAAATGTGGAAGGTGAATAATACGCGTGTAGGAGGAGAGTGGGGTGAGGCGACCTCGAGTGGTGCGCGCTATTCAATTGGCGGAGTTGAGAGAAATTTTGGACAACAAAAAGTAAGACAGAGTGGTGGAAGACGTCAAAACAAGATTCAAATTTCCCCACATTGACTTGCCTCCAGTCCAGTGGCAGATTCTGTAATATTACCTATTTAAAAGGTCATTCATTTATTGTACACCATAAATTTATTATATAACAAACACCCTTACTTTTGTTTTTTTACCACGTATTCAACAAAATTATTTGTACGCTCCCTGCACTATAATTATTCTATAACCAAAGTTGTAATATGGTTTTTATAATATGGTATAGTTGCAATTTATTGTTGGTGGGTGGTCCAAAAAGGGTCTAATGTGCTGAGTTTGATAAATTCGTTTACCAAATTTAATTAAACAGATTCGCTTACTCACAACTATTAGATATAAAACGTAGAGAATAAAACTTCTTGTCATATTTTTAATCGAGTGGACGATGGACGATAAAAGAGCAGAAACAACCAAATAAAGAACTATGTAGCATTTTAGTTTGCTTATTTTATAATTACAGATTATTTATTCATTTATATATTATTGTTACGGTTTTTAGGTATACTAAAAGTCAAAAACAATTAAATTCAATGATCTATCCTTCAAAGGGTAGTCAATAAAAAAAAAAAAATCAAGGTAGAAGAATTGCCAAACGTTAGATTCATTAAAACGATTTCCCTTTTTCCCCTTCTCTCTTTCGTTCTCATGAGTTGTCAGTCAACGTTTTGTGCCGTTCGTGAACTAAAAAATCATAAAAATAATAAAAATATAAATGATTTCATCAACTATATCTCCAGATGCAATATGACGTCAAAATGTAAATTTTTTAATTTAGTAAAAAACGTTTTGAAGAATAAGCAGAGATGAAATAATTGAACATTTTAAATATGAAATTATGTGGATACCAATAGTTTCTATCTCAAAATAAATTGATAAGAGAGTTCATGCCTATTCCAAATTTTTGTTAAATTATTCATTTTTTCAACGTGAGACCATTAACAATAAACCTTCTAATTTTAAGGTTAAACAGGCTATTATCATCCAATTATATTAAGTATTTTTTCTTCTAACTTCAAATCACGATCGAATTAAGTGAAAGATCAATGTAATTAAAARGATGTTATGGAGATGGGTAAAAAAAAGTTATTAGAGTTTTTGTTTTGTGTATGTTGTTGGCAGAAGAAAGTCAGAGGTAGGCGTTGTGATGCTCTCATTGAAGTTGACACATTGGTGCGGTGCCTTAGGAATCTCAACTCAAGCTTTTTTTGTTGGCTTTTAATTTAAAAAGAAAAAGATATGGAAAATGAGAAGAGGTGAATGTGAATCCAATTCTGTTGCATTTTTCAATGTTTCTAAGTTGAACTAATAAACAAACGGAGAAGGGACCACCGTTGTTACAGTGCGACAGCTGTTACAGGATTATTATTTTGAGTGCCCATCTGATTCCGCTCCAACGGACAGCCACCGCGACTCGCCGTCTTAATTAAAATGCCCCCGCTCCTCTCGCCTCGCCGGAGCCCCGACATATCTCTCATTGAATAAGTCCCTAAATTACAAAAATATTTCTAAATTTTCGTCGCCATTTTTATGTACCTATAAATTTTTTTTTCTCCGGGTTAGATTACAATTTTGGTGAACTGTAGTTTTCGTGATTTGAGTTTATATTTGATTTAGAATTTATGGTTCTAAAATTTTCAATTTAGTATTTACAAATCTATCAAACTTGTTAGAACCATATTCACAAAAGAAGAGAGAATTTTTGTTTACTTGACCAATTCTGACGGTTGAATGTATTAAAGGTTAAGAAGGGGTAAAAATTATAAGAACCTAAAAACCCTTCAACTGATGAGAAGGCGCTAAGGCGGTATGGAATAAAGGAAGTTACGCCCAAACTATAACATCGGAATTTGTATTTCTAAAACAACGTAATTTGTAATTTACCATTTTTTATTTAAATAAGAAAACAGGGCCTTTGATTTCTTTATTCGTGGACCAATTTCAGATGTGAAGCCTGGTTCAAAGCCCAAGCCCAAGCCCAATCCGTCTCTCTCACATTAGCACTAAGATACTGAACCTCCAACAATAAGTTTTCTTCTGGAACATTTTAAAAAATTATAAATTCGTACGTGAATTTTGAATTTGAATTTTGAAAACCCTGCTCCAAATACTCCGACAGAAACAGCAGAGGGCATAAAGATAGCCCGATTCCCTAGCCTAGGCCCCTACGAAGCACGTCAATCAACACAGCCCTCCGCCACATTTTCTGCCACCTTCCATTTAATTTCCGACCAGCTTTCTTCTCCAACACTCAATAATCTTCCTATCCTCGTTTCTCCAAGATCAATCTTATTTATAATATTTTTTATTTAGTCGTGAAAATTTGGAAAATTGAAATGGGGGACACTGATGGTTGTCGGGTTGAGTCTACAAAAAACTCCACTGGAATTAGAAATCATACAAATGTCACAAGAAGCTAGAAAAAAAAGGTGCAGGAATCCAAAGACAATCATCAAACCCCAGATGCTACAATTACAACATTACCCCCACCGTTCAACGTGCGCAGGTGGGTTCAAA